GGAGCCTAAAGGAAGACACAAGACATTACTTCAATGGAAAGAAAAACATCCACACTGGGGATGTAACACATACGGATTTTTTAAAACCTCATTTTAAAATGTATCTAACATGTCAGAGCCTGTAGGATGATTTTAAAAACAATAACATCAAACAGCCATCTTCCAACCTGTTCTGCTGCTAGAAATAAGTTTTGATTCCACTCTCCTTTCCTCCTGCTTCACAGCGAGGCGCTTTCAAGTCATTGTATGGAAGTTTTGCAAAATTTATGGATTTTTGAGTCTTTTTATCAGGTAAACGTCCAAAGTTGTTGACATGTTTGGGACAACAAAATACAGACTTGTTGTTATTGAGTTTGTCAACATGAACCACTACCTGAGAGGTACAACTAGCCCCTCCCCCATCAGAGTGTCGGAGCAGGACGAGTCAGTGCAACGTCAATCAAATGAGAGAGAGGGTGGGGGCGATTACTGCATTTGGGGGAGAGAAAATGTTTTATGGGTAGAGTAGTTTATTTTTCCTGTAATACTTCATTATAGTTTTTTAACACAAAGCTAAATGAAAGGGGCGCTGAGCAGAGTTACAACCAGGGATTACAAATAATTACTTTTTTCTTCTGCAGTTCTGCGCCCCTCCAGCAGATGGAGCTGTAGGTAACCGCCTAGTTCACCTATGTATGCCAAGAGCTGGCTCTGAAAATGTCTGTATACAGACACGGTACTTTAATAGAATTGTCAGCAGCATGAGCTGATTCTCCTCACAGCTGTTGAGCTTTTTAAAGCTTTTCTACAAAGTGACCTGACATATGGCCACTTGTAACCTCCTGTTGTTTAGCTAGGCGTTACGTACAGTTCTTCTTTCTACTTCCATCTGTCGAAATAGTTATAAATGTAGCTCTACTCCACAAACTAAACCGTCTTAGGAAGCTAAAAATTCACAATTGTGTCTTCACTATTAAAACCTTCCTGAGCACAAGCAGTTACAAGTCATGACTAAGTCTAAGTAAATAAATGAAAACACAGATCAACAGCATTATGTCACTAACTGTAACTAAATGAACCATAAGGTTTCAGATCACAACTTCACCAACGTTTACATTTCACAAAGAAATAAGCAGTTTATAGTGACTAAGTACATTTACCTCGTTACAGTACTTCAGTAGTTTTTTGAAGATTTGTAATCTTACCAATTATTTTTTAAATAGCTACTTTTACTTTTACTTTTCTTTACACTTTAAAGCTAAAAATGATCCTTTTACTTCTTTACTTTAAATTGTAACACATAGTTACTCGTTACAAAATTAAATATGTTTGAACTCATCATGAAGGATGATGTTCATGCACTCTAAAAAATGAGGAGTTGAATTTATTCAACAAAGTCATATCAACTGGCTGCACTAAGCCTGGATGAGTAAAATGAGCAAATAATATAACATATATCATTCAATTTACTCAATCTGTCTTAGTGGAACCAGTCTGGTTCAGTAAATTCAACAGTTTTATTTCTCAGAACGTGTGTAAAATTATTTTTACTTCCCCAATTTTTGTGAACAGTTTTATGACTTTTACTTGAGTAGTTTTCTCATCAGTGACTTTATTTTTGCCAGTCATTTTCTGTTAAGGTAATTTTACTTTTACTTTATTTTTTTCAAGTACTTCATAGTCCTGTGGAAATGTGTCTTCTTCAGAGGTGTAACACTAATGAGTGTTAACTCAACACTAATGAGGGAGGAACAGAAAGATGATACTGATTGTGCTCTCTGTTACACTGTTTTTCCTGTTCAGGGAACCAGATCAGATTTACTGATCAATAATTTATTCACCCTTTAAGAAATCAGACTTTTACACCAAAGTGTGAGATTGTAAAACTGCACGAAACTCTTTTCATAAGCAATGACTACTTAATGAAGAAAAAAACAACTTTGTCTTGTGAAAATATATTACAAAAGTAGAACAATTAAATTTCATAGAATGATGGATAAACATGGTAAAAATTAAAAACATAAAAGACTAAAATAATAATACTGTAAGCAGTGATAAAGGACCGTCACGCACTAAGACTATGTGTACATACGTCTTACACTACAGCTGGTCCGTCTGTCAGGTGTCATGAAGCTCACAGCCCACTATAAAACAGTCAGTTAGAAAATAACTGGAACAAGTTCATCAAGGTGCCACGGCCACTCTCTTTGGCTGCCAATAGCTATGAATATTTTCTGTGTTTTTCAAAGGGTTTGAGCTCTACACAGCCATTTTAAAGATGCTAGGATGACACATCTGATTTGAAGAACACTAAAATGCATTAGTACAGTGCCCTTTAGCAGCTGCTAGCAATGAATATTTTCCTAATGGGTCTGAAGGGTTAGACTTATTTCCATCGGCATCTCTCCTTGACTGGTTTAAGTCTTATCTGTCTGGCTGATCTCAGTTTGTCCAGCTCCAATCCTTTGTTTCCAAATCATATCCTGTAAGCACTGGTGTGCCCCAGGGCTCTGTCCTGGGGTCCCTACTCTTCATCATCTACCTTCTTCCCATCTGTAACATTTTTCATAAATACAATATTCACTTCCACTGCTACGCGGATGACACCCAGCTCTACCTCTCTAGTAAACCAAATGTTGCTCTACCACCCTCCTCTCTTTCCAACTGCATTAATGAACTCAAATCCTGGTTTTCTTCTAACTTTCTAAAATGCAACAGTGATAAAACTGAAAATTTACTTATTGGTACAAAAGCAACATTATCCAAAGCTGACTGTCCTCCCATTTTAGTTGATAACACTTATGTTTCCCCCTCCCCTCAGATGAAGGGTCTGGGTGTCATCTTTGACAGTACTCTATCATTTCAGTCTCACATTAACTCCATCACCAGGGGTCTCATTTATAAAGGATTGCGTGGAAACCATACTAAAAGTGAACGTACGGC